ACCGAGCCGCTCCCCAGCGAAAAGGGTTCCTTCTTCAGCGCCCAGACTGTACGGAGACATGCTCCCGTCCTGCGGTTGCGGAAAAGTGGCTCGCACCCCGATCGGGCGATGAGGCGCGACTGGGTTCGGAAGCACCTGGTCTAAGTGATGTGTGCTTGGGGATGCCGCCCCTGCCAAATGCAACTAGACGGAACTGCCGTCGCCGTAGTCCGAAAACATGCAGTCAATGGCATACCTGCATTAGTGGCTCTGTCATTGTGTTTGGTTTCAAAGCGAATTGCGATTCACTGGGGCGTGCGATGTTTCCTAAGACGGCAATACACTGCTCGATGTTCGAGTGCAGCTCCTGTGCTACAATATGTGCAGTCTTGCTTGTCGACGAGACACGACACAAAGCGCTGGCGATCGCACGGAGCAAGCAATTGCCTCAGAGGCTTTCACGCTGAGGCGGACGGTTCATACAATGCATCACAATGATCTCGCGAAGTGCAGGAGCAGTACAACTGCCCGCCTGCAATGCCTTTGCAATACGTCGTCCGCGCGCAATGCAATGGCAACGCAGTTGGCGCGCAGGTCAAAGCGCAGCGTGCCGAGCGCGGACAAATCTTGACACTACTAGTGTCGCGGATGAGCCGCCGAGCCCATCGAAACGTTTCGACGGACTTGTCTACTGTCTTCGTCCGTTCCTTGCGTGTCTCGAGGCTACGCCCAAGCACGCGTTGCAACGAGCGACAGACTGGCGAAAAAATCTTTGGACCTGCCCACCAGATGGTGCAGTGCATGCTGGATCTCGGGCACCACCCTGTGATAGACGACACATCATTCTGCGCCAGCCAGACACAGGGGGCGGAAAAGAGGCAAACAAACCCGAAGTACGCCCTTCTTCCTCCCATCCCCCGCTGCCTCCCCCCCTCCTCCTCCCCCTCCCCCTCCTCCTCCTCCTCCTCCTCCTCCTCCTCCTCCGCCTCCTCTTCCTCCTCTTCCTCCTCCGCCTCCTCCTCCTCCTCCTCCTCCTCCTCCTCCTCCTCCCTACCAGAGCACGGACCCTCCGCCCACGCCCGCGCGCGCCGACTCAGCCCAGCGATGACAACAACAACGACAACAGCGGCGACGGCGACGGTGGCAGCGGCGGCGACGGCGGCGACCAAGACGGCCTGCGGTCGTCCCGGGGAGGTCCCCAGGAGCCCCCGCGGCGCAGCCCAGAGAGGCCGTCGACGGCGGCCTCCAGAGGGGCCTCGGACGCCCCAGCGCGGCCACGACCGCCATCCCGCCCACGTGGCCTCGTCCACAGGCCTCCGATTTCTTGATTTGTCCCAAATAATAACATGAAATATCGAGTGAGATAGACTGTCGAATGATCTGAACTCACGCGTGCCCGAATTGACTGCTGCCTGCCCCAAGGAGGGCAGCACGCACGCGCAGCTCCCGTGGCCTGGTCCCAGCCGGGGCCGCCGCAGTCCCGACACTCTGCCTCTCGGAGCAGCTCCTCTGCCCGAGTCGCGCTTCGACCGCGCCAGGGCCCAGCGAAAGGGCCCCCAAGGTTGGACGCCCGAAAGAAAGGGACACGGAAACCATAGGCACAATGCCCAACAGCAAATGTTGTCCCGAACCGACAGCGGCCGCCGTATTCTTCCCGTGCCCATCTCCTCCGTGCAGGCCCTCTGCCCGAGCCGTGCTTCGACCGCGCCCAGGCCCGGCGAGGGGGCCCCGGATTTGGACGCCCGAAGTGGGCACGGAAAGAATGGGCACAATGCCCAGCAGCACATGGCGTCCCGAGCCAGCAGCGGCCGCCGTTGGGCAGGCGGCCTCCTGTCTCACGTGGACACAGGCCGCGCCGGCGCGGACAGCGAGTCCTGCTCCAAACGAGCAGGAAACTGCTGCTGAGCATTGTGCCCACTCTTTCCGTGCCCATCTCGTTCGTGCAGGTCCTCTTCCCGAGCCGTGCTTCCACAGCGCCCAGGCCCAGCGAAGGGCCCCGAGAGGTCGCCCTCGGCAACGAGAGAAAAAACACTTCCGTGTCGCCCGCGGCACGGAGCGACCCGAGCGGCAGCGGCGAGAGGGGGCGGAGCTGCAGCATCAGGGGATCGAATAATGACATAAACATAACAACTCGGAGCTCCGCGCGGATTTCTCGGATCGGCGCTGGGGCCCCCCCGCGGCGCCTCCGGCGCCGCCCCTGGCGCGCTCCGCGCGCCAAGGAAGGGGGGTCTGGCGCCCATCCGAGAAATCCGCGCGGACCTCCGAGTTTTTTATGTTTACGTCACTGCTTTTTCCCCTACGCTCGGGAGCGGCCGAGAGGGGGGTGTCCAAAAAGAGGGGGGGGGGTGCAAACCATGACCGGCGGCACGTGCGCGGCCCAGCGGGGGGGCCAGGGACGTCATGGAATGAGAAGAGGCGCCCTGAGATCTGGGAAAACATCATGGCCCACGCCATCTGAGATCTAGTCATCACCCCCCTCTTTTCCGCCCCCGACGAGCACGGGGCTGCGCGGCGGGGCCGCCTCGCCCTGCCGCGAGTGCCTGGCCTTCGCCTGCGCCCGCTGGCCGCCGCGCGCGGGCGGGGGCTCCCCGCGCGAGGCGCGCGCCGCGGGCGCCCCGCGCCGGGGCACGGCGCGGCGCGAAGGGAGAGAAAGAGAGAGAGAGAGAGAGAGCGAGAAACACAGAGAAGAAGAAGGAAGTGAGAGAGAGAGAGAGAGAGATGTGAAAGAGAGCACAGCAACATAATGTGGGACTCTGTAGCCGCTACAGTCTACATAGAAGAGTGCCATTCCTCGACGGGCCTCGTTCTGTAGCACCCTGGAAAGGTCAGCTTCGACAGCTGCAGCAGATGGGCCTAGACAACTGAGATGATTACCCTGGCGAAAGGGAACCAAATTCTCTTGGCATGTGTTAGTATTGCTCTCCATCTTCGAGAGAGCGGAAAACCGTGCACGTCCAAGGAGCATTGGCAAAACCGGTGGAAGGACACCGCATACTACATTACATATCGATGCCCCAGGCGTACCCGGCTTCATGATTCATGGACAGGGCAGGATAAAGCTCTCGTCATGAAATCCACATGGTGGACGAGCACTGGAAGGGCAGGCTGGCGTGGAAAGAATTTGCGCAGATCATCCCCTACAACTGATAGTTGAATCGCACCTCGAGACACCCTGTCGGCTCGCAAAGCCACACCTCAAAGCGTGCAGGCGCCCGGAGTCCCAGGCACCGCAGATTTCGAAGAGGCGGGGGTCCGGAGACCCAGGAAGGAGGGAGCGAATCCCAGTGGGCTGACGCGGGCCAGTCGATGCCGTCTTGCCACAGCAGAAGTCGACAGAAAACCGAGGCCAGGAAAACAGAATGTGAGAATCATGCGTCTCTGCCCCGCCACTGCAAGCACAAAGCTATCGCCAAAAAAGTGGATCTCTGCGGAATCCGACTCCTGACAACAAGAGGCACACGTAATATCTTGGATGTTCGGGATTCAGTGGCACAACGCACAGCTTAATTTGGTCTGGCACTCTCTGAAACATTGCGAGTTCGATTGGAATGCTTTACCCTGCTTCCGCTTACCATCACGGCCCGTCGTGAACCCAATACCGATCCAGAGTGCAACGGCAATTGCATAACTACCATCGCCTGGGCGGCCATCTTGACAATGAGGTGGACCGTGCACATACAGTTTCTGGGTGTCAGGGAGCGGCTGCTCCTCTTGAGCCAGAGTCCAAGACTGTGTTGCGACCCCAGCATTCTGATCGGCGAGGCCATTTCCGATTGCGACGTTGCGTGGGATCTGGGAGAGACGGGGAGATCGTTAGGGTCAGTGTGCGAAGGAAGCCACACGATCCCGACCCCCTCGTAGGACATCAGGGCCTCGCGAAGACGACACAACAGATCGGCATTACGCCCTATACCCTGCGAAATGCTTAAGAAATCATGGGTTAAGAAATTCATAGTCTCAGGCTTTGAATGAAAACCCAGAATTCCTGTCAAAATCTTGGGAATTGCATTGAAACGTTAAGAATAATCGAGACTCTGGCCGAAAACATAAGTTTTCTTAAGCATCGCCCAGGGTGTATACCCGTTATGACACGGCCTCGAGTGCACCCGAGGTGCAAGGCAGCACTTCCAGTGACGGCGAACAGTGGCCGGCCTTGGGTCCCGAGGGGCCACATCTTGGTGGTCCCCAAACGTGGTGGTGAGCACACCCCGGTGGGGAGCTTTGGGCGATTTGGGTGATTGCTTTCGAGCGCTGGCTGGCCCAGGAAACGCAAAACCTCGTGGCGACCGCGTGTCCCCAAACCCGGTGGTGACCCAGAATCATTTTTGGGGGGAATCGGGGTCACCACCGGGTGTCTCACCACCTGGTTTGGAGCCCACCAAGCCACATCGAAGGCCTTCGGCTCAGCACCGGGATCCCTTTGCCTGCGGCAGCCCCACGAGCTGGCCACGCCCAAGAGGAGCTCACTGCGCGTGCAGGTGGGCCGGGGCGACACGGCTGCGGCGCCGGCCCGACGTCGGCGCTGGTCGCTTCTGCTCCTCGGCGGCGAGCCAGGGGAGGGAAGTGAGAAGGGCTGGGCCTTCTCAGAGGGCTCGGAAGTCCCACAGCCTTCTGAGAAATCTCCTAAGCCTTCCCCGAAGACGCGAGGCGCGAGGGGGTTCTCAGAAGTCCCGCCGCCTTGGGAGAAGGCATTCTCCTTCTCATGTCCCCCGTCGCTCGCCGCCGACTGCTGGCCTCCAGACCCTTCCCCGACAATTAACGTGGACGCGAGAGAGTCGAGGTCGAGAGCTTCTGACAGCAGTACCCACTCCGAGCAAGCACGAACACCCCGACTCGCATCCCCTTCTCTCTGTGGAGGGCGGCGCCGTGGAGTGAGAAGGCTGCACGCCCAGAGAACACCGAGACAACGTGGGCACGGGGGCGGGATGGGCCGAAAGCCTCTGTATCTTAAGGGGCCCTGGAAACGACAGGGCTGAGTTTTACCGGTTCCGTTCTGCCGTTTTCGTTGCCCGTTCCGACGCAATTTTTGTTACCGGTTCCGTTGCCGTTGTTTTACGGGTTCCCGCTCCAGATCCAATCCTGGAGCCGTTTCTGTTGCCGTTTCCGGTCGCCGTTTTCTTCGCCGTTTCTATGTTCAAGGGACACTTCTTCGGACACGATGAGAAAACGGCCCTGCCGCTTCCGGGGCCCACTAAGCTCTGTATGACGTGTCCATCACGCCTGCATGACTCAAGGGGCCCAAGGACACACAAACAAATACACACGAATGAAAAGACTCCCCCTATTTTTCCCAGATTTTCTGGGTTCTTGTCTTCCCGACCGATTCCCATTTTTGCACATATGTTCTGGGGGATCGACGATTAATTGTGTCTGTGTGTTTTTCTCCCCCCTGCACGACAGACGGCGGAATGCCCCAGGAGGCGTCTCGCAGCCACGAGCGGCTCGCTGACCCGCGTCAGCCAGAGGGGGCCTTCGCAGGATCCTGCAGGATCTGGTGCCCTGGCTGACCCCCGTTTGCAGTGACCCCCGCCTTAAGGCTCCCGAGAAAAAACGGCCCTGCCGTTTCCGGGGCCCAGGATAAATCGCTCCAGAGCGTTCCGGAGCGCTCTCAGAGCGTTCCGGAACGCTCTGGAGCGGCCGCGGCGCCCAATACATCCTCCAAACCCGCCGATTCTCAGAGATTTCGAGTTAGCCCGATCCGACTTTGCCTCGATCTTCGCGTCGTTTTACACTGACCCCCGTCGCAAGGCTCCCGAGAAAAAACGGCCCTGCCGTTTCCGGGGCCCACTGAGCTCTGCATGACGTGTCCACCACGCCCGCATGACAGACGGCGGAATGCCCCAGGAGGCGCCCGAAGGATGGTGCACTCCGCGGGCGGACACGGATGGCGGCTGGGCCGCCATTGGCGGCCGACGGGGACTGGCAGCGCCTGTGCCGCCGACTTCGCGCGCGACGCCGCGCGGAGGCGAGGCGCGACTACAGCTGTGAGCTCACGACTCTATCCTGACGACCTACCAGAACTCCCCAACCCAACCCGAAGACCCCCATTTCGGGTTGGGGGGGGTACGGGTTCCATACGTGTCTTTTCAATGTTCCCCGACCCCCTCTACCTGGAAATGGAGGGCAAACTGAGGCCTTCGGGTTGGGCTGGGGTGGTCAGCCAATACCCGGGTCAGCCAATACGCGCGGCCGCCTCGCGGCCACGAGCGGCTCGCTGACCCGGGTCAGCCCGAGGGGGTCTTCGCAGGATCCTGCAGGATCTGGTGCCCTGGCTGACCCCCGTTTGCACTGTAAAACAGGGCTAGGATCGGGATAAATTGCTCCAGAGCGTTCCGGAGCGCTCTCAGAGCGTTCCGGAACGCTCTGGAGCGGCCGCGGCGCCCAATACATCCTCCAAACCCGCCGATTCTCAGAGATTTCGAGTTAGCCCGATCCGACTTTGCCCCGATCTTCGCGTCGTTTTACACTGACCCCCGTCGCAAGGCTCCCGAGAGCTCACGACTCTATCCGGCCCGGCGTGGCCGCGTCGGCGCCCACCTCGGCCCGCGCCCAGCAGGGAGCCTCAAGGGGCACCGCCGCGGCACGGGGCAGCAGGAGCGCCTCCGCGGCGGCGGAGCCGGCAGGGCCGCGCGCCGAAGCGCCGAGGAGGGTAAGCTTAGGTCGGGCCTGTCCCCCCACAGGGGGATCTTCAACGACAAATGCAAAACACACCCCCAACAAATCCCAAATGGACAAAACAGACCAATCCAAAAATAGTCCCCAGACTGTGTGTGGACTATTGTTGGACCATTTCTGGTGTATTTTTTTCTTTTTCGTCGAAAATCCCCCTGTAGGGGGACAGGCCCGACTTCAGGGTAAGCAAGGAAGGAGGGGGGGAGCACGGAAGAGCGGCAGGGCCACGGCACGTGAACCGCTCGCCGCGGCCGGTGCCGCAAGGGGGGGGCAGCGGGTCCGCCGCCTCGCGCAGGAGGCAGCACCGCGGGGCCGAGGCGGGGGGCGGAGCTCGGCAGGCGTGCGCGCAGGAGGCGCGCTGCGCAGTGAGGACAGGTGGGGCGGGGCAGTGGGGCACGCCCGCGCCCAAAGGCAGGACAGGGGGGTTAGGGGGCAAACCAACCTACCTCGCTTTTGACCACCCTCGCTTCCAAGAGGTACCAAGCGATGCCAAACTGCGGCCTGTACTGGTCAGGCCACTTGACGAGGAGGCGCGTGGTATGAGTTGGTTTTGCGTGGTACACTGGCAGCGAAGCCAGGAGAGCGAGTGAGAGCGTATGCTCTGATGATCGAATCAGAGCATGAGAGCGTGAGAGCGAGGGAGAGCGTGAGAGCGAGGGAGAGCATAGCATCACATATGCGAATCTGATGATACCTGGCACTGCACATCCCATGCCTGGCACTCTCCACATTCCCCTCTCTGGCTTCCTCTTTCACATTCTTACTCGCTCACGTACACTCTCACTCACTCTCTCGCACTCCGTCTCTCTCGAATATGATCGTAGAGTTGCAATATACACCGCTAAATGCATGTAGAAACACCTGTATATATATGTATGTTGATATCAATATCTCTTTCTCTATGTCATCCCTCCTATCCTGTTCTCTCTTTCACCATCCGCATCCTTCCGTCCCCCTTCGATGTATCCCTCCGTGCCGGCCCCAGCTCCCCCTCCTCCCTCTCTCTCTCTCTCTTTCTCTCCTCACTCCTCTCTCAATCGTTCCTATGAACAACTGTTGGTCGCTCCTCATACTCTCTTGTCCCTTACGCTTCCGGGCGGGGCCTCAACTAGGCCCTCACCCAGCTTGTGGCAGAGCGTGGTCTTCTCCATTGCCTCCTTTGAAAACATGTGCGGCTATAGAACAAGTTTGCGGATCGGCGCGGCAACAAGACTTACAGCAGCGCGTTTGCACAACCCATAGCATGTCCACGGGGCAACGATAATGACACAAAAGGCACACGCACGCGCAAACCCATCAACCCACACACCCACACGCAACCATACGTACATACATACATACAGACAGACAGACAGATGGACAGACAGACAGACAGACGTATATGCAGGCATTCATGCATATCTATACACACATACGTACATACATACATGCGTACCAACATGTGTACACCTCAATACACATATAAATGGACATCATCCATGAACACATGCAATCCTATTAATACATATATACATGTACTCGTACACAAACGTTTATGTAGACATGTACGTATACATGTTTATGAATATCTGCATACACCTATACGTATACACATACATGTTCATGTGCATATACATTTCCAGACTACGTATACACATACCGATCTACATAAATACACGTATGCGTGTACATGTACGTTTAAACATACATATGCATATACGTATACATGTACATGTGCATGTACATATACGCATGCATACATACATTCACATACACCTACACCTACACCTACACATATGCACACACACTCTTTCTCACTCGCACACAAACGCCACACACGAACACACGCGCGCGGGTGCATATCACGACAACACGCGCACACAACAGGAGTACACTCATAGTCGCCCGCGCGCCCCGCCCTCGCCAAACACACAACGATACACCACACATGTGCACACATATATACTCTGCATGTTTCTCACCACGCCCGACAGGCATACGTGCACACATGTAGATGCAGACACGCACGCCCATCCTACAAACATTCATGGTGGTCTCATGCAGCCGTCAAGACATGACTCCAGGAGAAGCCTTACGCATGAGTGATTATCAAATCTCCCTTGGACCACCAGGTTCTTGATTCAAGCGCAACGGGACGGCTCTCAGGTCATATAATCCTCTAGTACAGTACATGGTCGCAGCTCCCAGGCCATGGGATCCTATGTAAGACATCCATGGTGTTAGCTCCAAAGCCGCAGGGTCATGCGAGGAAAACAAAAAACGGTGTCAGTTTCCAGGCCACCGCGAGTCCAGATCCTCGTAACCGTCGCATTCTGGACCGCCGGGGTGTGTGGGACCCCACGGGGAGCCACCGGCTGCCAAAACAAGCAAACTTCACATTCAGAGTCGTAGCGCTGGACACGGGTTCCTTTTCTCCGAGAACCCCCAGACCACAGGATCCCCCATACAAAATAAAGGGCTTCAACTCTGAGGCCATAGGATCCAATGTAAGAGTACATTCTCTCAGCTCCCAGGCCGCAAGATCCTGCGTAAAACTGGTAGATCCAGCTCCCAGGCTCCAAGACAGACGGCACAAGAGCCCCCCCAACACGGCCCAAGTTGGCCCCACGATCACACCAAAGAGGACATCCAGGGGCCCCAATGCTTAATTCCCCCTTTGCAGTTTGACATTCGTTGACCGTGTTGCAGTTTCGGGATGCCGTCGGCTCAGGACGATCACAGACGCCTCCAAGATCGCCTCCTGAGGGCCCCAAGGGCCCACCGCAGGGCCCTCAGGCGGCCCAGGAGAGCTCGAAGTTGGCCCAAGGAGCATCCAAGACGGGCCGGAGACGGACACAATACGGCCCCAGAGGCCCCCAAGACTGTCCAAGATGCCTCCCAAAGCGGCCGTCGACGGCGCCCGAATGCCAAACAAAAGCGCCCTACACTGGCCCACGAGACCCGCCGCGTACACGGGTTCCCGTGGCCTTCCCCGGAGGCCTCCAGAGGAGGACCCCAGACGGCGAAGGGCGGCGTCGCGCCCGCCGGCTGGGAGTTCGACGACGCAGACTGGTGCTTCGCCCAGGGCTGGGATGCCGGGGGGCCCCAGGGTGGGTGGGGCGGCGGCCCGTGGGGGCCCAGTAGGAGGAGGGGAGGGGAAGTGGGGAGGCGGAAGGGGGGGATGGCAAGCTAGGTGCGCTCGCGTCATATCTGACGTCCTACCCAGAAGCATCCAGACGGCTCCCAGAGGCCTTCGCTCAGGAAGCCTCACGGCGCCGAGGCTTTTTACGCGGTCTGGACGTTCGCCGTGCGAAGCGGGGGGGGGTCTTGGGAGCTCATGGCAATCTTGGAGCCTTGTTGGTGTCACGGCGACACCTTCGGGTCCTCGTCGGATATGTCCAGGGGGCCACATGCGAACCCTACCCCTACCCCCCACGATTTCTGAGCGAAGTGACCCCCCCCCTCAGAAATCGTGGGGGGTAGGGGTAGGGTTCGCATGTGGCCCCCTACTGTCTGCAACCATGCCCAGGACGAAGCAACATTCCATCGTGGCACCACGGGCTCACATCAGGAGTCGTGGAGACACTTCACATGCTTCGAATGGGAGTTCGCGGGGTCATCTTGGCGTTATGTCGGGCGTGTCCCCCTACAGGGGGATTTCGATGAAAAATAGAAAATACCCCAAAAATACCCCATAGAGGTCAACAAATACTCCAAAAAGGGTCCCCAGACCATTGTTGGACTATTTTTTGTTTTTACATTTTGGGGGGTATGTTTTATTTGTCGTCGAAGATCCCCCTGTAAGGGGACAGGCCCGACTTAATCTGGTGCTGTGGTGTCATGGTGTTAATCCTGTTGACTACTTATACTATTTTGGAATCTGTTTTATCTTTCGTCGACAATCCCCCTGTAGGAGGACAGGCCCGACAAAATCTGGGTGCCATGGCGTCATATTGGGGTCACGGTGCCTGGTTTTTGTTTGAAGCCGCAGGCTCTTCTGAAGCCGCACAGGGCTTCGCTACTTATTTAGCGTTCCTTTTGTTTTTCAGCAGCCCGACTCGGGTCATGAGGCCATCGTGTTGGGCGTTGCTTAATGGGGGGGTCATAAATGGGGGGGTCAGAAACGGTCCCCTTTCGTGCCCCTTTCGGGCCCCTCCAGAGCCCCAGGGGGCTCGTTTAGGTACCGTTTGGGTACCTTTTCTGACCACCCGCGACACCCCCCTATTTATGACCCCTCCATTACGCAACGCCCAATACGTCGTGCACCCGAGCGGGCGCGCCGGGCCGACGGGCCGAGCGGACGCGCATGGGGGGCGGGGACCGGCGCAGCGGCGGCGACGGTGCGGGCCAGGACAGCGGAGAGGGCGGCGACGGCGGCGTGGAGCACGACGAGAAGATCACGATGACGAGCGATGAACTCGCACCCATACCCATAGGGGAGACGGAATGAGCTATGGGTGCGTGTTGTTGGATAGGGGCCCCCGCTCGAACCGTCGCCTCCTCAGGGGTCCGACAACCCGCACCCATACCCATAGCCAGCCCTCCTCCCTCCGACCTCCCTATGAGTATGGGTGTGTGTGTTGTTCGTTCGTCATACTGAGGATGACCACGAGGACGAGAACGCCGCCGCCGAAGGCAGTTGGAACGACGACGACGTCCGTGAGGGCATGGCGACGTTGGGCGAGCGGAAAGACGACAACGCTGACGACCACGGTGAGGGCGACCACATGCCTAACAACAAAGACGACGCCACAAACGGCAGGCACGAACTACAATAACAACAGTGTGCCACAATGATCCCGCCGTGTTCCTCCTCAAACTCCACGGCCTCTTCCTCCCTCCTCCCTCCTGCTCCTCCTGATGCTGCTCCTCCTCCCCCCCCCTCTGCTTCCCCCGTTCCCCGCCCTGGCCGCCCTCGCCCTGCTCCTCTTCCTCTCCGTCCTGATCCGCGCCCCCTCCCCCCCCTGGGCCTACCCCCTAGCCTACCCCAGGCCTACCTCCTAGGCCTACCCCCTAGGCTTACCCCAGGCCTACCCCTAGGCCTACCCCCGAGGCCTACCCTCCCAGGGCTTACCCTAGTTTTACCCCTAGGCCTAGCCCCTCTGCCCTCCCCCCCCCCCATCATCGCACGACGGACGTGGGCGACGAGGGGCGACGACGCCGACGACGACGCCGCCGACGACGGCGACGCCGACGCCGCCGACGACGCCGGCGACGACGACGACGACGACGCCGACGACGACGCCGACGACGACGGCGACGCCCAGAAGCGGCGGCGCCTGCGCCAGGCGCGCCTCCGGAGCGCCGGGGGGGCGCGCGCCGCGCACCCGCAGGCGCCAGGAGGAGGGAGGAGGAGGAGGAGGAGGAGGAGGAGGAGGAGCAAGAGGAGGAGGAGGAGGAGGAGGAGGAGGAGGGAGGAGGAGGAGGAGGAGGAGGAGGAGGAGGAGGAGGAGGAGGAGGAGGAGGATGGGGAAGGAGGAGGAGGAGGAGGCGGCGTGATCGTCGGCGCCGTCGGTCGTCGACGTCGTGGTCTGACCAGCCTCGAACTGATCCCTATCCCCTGAGATGGGCGAGGGAAAAGCGAGGACAATCTCAGGGATGCGCTCTCAGGAACCGGGGGAATCCTTCAGATCGGCATCGAGGCGAGGTGATGCCAAACACAGGGGTAGGGACATGTTTTAAACTGGGAATGGTCGTCGTGGCCATCGCCAGACTCGTCGTGGTCGCAGGGGGGTCGTCGGAGCAGCCGCCGTGGAACGCAGACACACGTCGTGGCAGCCACGGCTCGCGCGGACGTGGCGCATGTCGATCATCACCAGCCCTCTGGGCGTGGGCGGTTCAGCGCCTGCTTCCTCTCAATCTTCCCTCTTCCCTTCCGGGGAAGGATTATCCCTCCGCCTGCCCGCTCCCTCTGGGTCTGGACGGCGGGGGGGCTCCTGAGGTGTCAGAGGGTATATTTGTTCGCATGAGGTGGCTCCAAGAGGGTCTCTAGATAACTAAAGATGGAATCCAAGATTTTCCAAACTTGTCCAAGAGTCCCCAAAGACCGCTTCAAGACAGGTCCACGTGTCCACTGAGCCTCCCAAGACGCCTCCGAGAGGCCAACGATCAAAATGATGGGCAAATCAATGTTATGCGCCTTCTCGCCTCAGATGACCTCCTGGGACCTCAAAACTGTTCCCTTACATGGTCGGCTGCTGATGCCATCGCTTCAGTGTGAAGCTCTTGTGCTCGCCACCCGTCATTCGGGCTGTCGATTGGATAATATTGCTATCTCTGTATTCATCAACTGGCCATCGTTCGGACGTCCATTCCCTGTGTTTTTGTTCCGGTTTCGTGCGTGGATTTTGGCCAAATGATCAAGGATGCTCCTCGATGGTCCTCGCAGAGGGAAACATGCACACGTCCGAGCGATGCCAAGTCAACACACACGACGGTAGTGCCAGCCCACATGCACCAGGCAAGCCCCGAATCACCCGAGGACCATCCTGAAGCGGCGAGCCAGCGCGCGAGACTTAGACCGTGGCAGAACAGCTGAAACAGGCGCGACGGCAACGTAGCAAGGCTGCCCTGGGCATGCGGCCGAGACACGGACCCCAGAGCCCGTGCCGAACCCTAAGCGCCGTGAGTCGTCAAGCAAGCTCCCAGGTCCCCCAGAACTCAAGGGGAAAGGGGAAAAGGACCGATCGTCCTCCTTCCCATGTTCCGTTTCACCCTGCCCCCCCTGGGACGTGCGAGTGTACTTGGCGGCTCACGGCGGACGATCGGGGAGGCACAGCCAAAAGAGGACAACGAATGGGCTGTCGGGGACCTACTGGCCCCGGAAAATTCAGACCCGGATCAGTCAACCTGGGCAAGATCCTGCCAGATCCGGCACGCAACCCAAGTCAATGCGACCGTGGCTCTTCAGGATCCTCCAAGATCCAGCGCTCTAACTGACCCTCGCTTGCATCAACCCCTATCCTTAATCCACGATGCTGCATACAGCTGGTCACCCCGGCGCCTGGGAGCCCTCGCGCACCGAGCAAAGAGCGTGGCGATGCAGCCTAAGTCAGCGGCGCGCAGAAGATTTCGTACCCTCCGCGTACCCACCCACCCACCAGTCGTCCTACCCTCGGAGCAGGGCGAAATCAGGCAACGGCAGCTCAAAATCGATCCCCGGACCCCTCTATAACTCCACACGAACAATATGTCCGAACTGCGTCCAGCCGTGTCGACAAAAAGGCCCCCCAGAGGGCCAACTACAATTGTGCCACCTGGTCCTCCACGGACAGACGCCAACCGTTTGTCAATCCATCCCGAGATCTGAGCGGGGGGGCACGCGAAGACTTGAGAGCAGATTAAGGAAAGACTCGGCCAGGCGACCTCCGGCCAGACTGAAACCGGCAAGCTAAAGAGTGAGCGCGGCACGGACCGAATTCAGCCTGGTCGAGATCAGCCAGCCGACTTCAGTCTCGCCGAACTCGTCTGGCCCAGTTCAGCCTGGACGCGCTCTTCTTGGCCGAGCTCATGTAGTTGCTGTCTGAAGGCACGCCCCCGCGCGGCCGGCGCGCGCCTTCAGGGACTCCACCTCCTGGCGCAGCCTGGCCGCCTGGCGTGGGCCGCGCCCCCGGGACCGAGCGGGAGGAGAAAAAGGAGGACAATGGAAGCGGGAAGCAGCAGGAGGAGCAGGACGAGAAGCGCGCATACCACATGCGACGCACCTGGGCAGGTCCGGTCCCCTTAGCAATGATTGGCGGTATCGGACCGTGTTCCCCGGCGCCTTTTTGCGATTCTCTCGCCGAAAAGATGTTCGGAAACGGTCGCGGAAACCGATCTGGATCTGCGCAAGCGATTCTGAAACACGGGAGGGCGTCGGTGCCGTTCGTTTCCGACGACCCACATCGATCCGCGCGCCAGGCCTCGGGCAGTCGCGGCGCGCAGCTCGCGACCTCCACGGGCGAGACGCGGCCAGCGGGTGCGGGGCGTCGCCGCCACCCGCTGCCGCTGCCAGGCTCTTTGGAGTGGCCATCGGCAGGGACCGCAAAGGTCGACGGGTCGCGGCGGTCGCCCCTAGGATCACCCCTACGTCACCACTGCGGATCGAGGCAACGACTCGGTGACGAGTGGAAACATCATAAAATCCTCTCTCTGCGTGGTTGTTGGACGGGCTCCGTGGGCGCCGGCCACTGCGGCGCTTAGGCCGTTGCGGGTTTCTGTTGATTGTGGTTCTGGGGAGTTTTTCCAGCGGCGGCGGGGGAGTTGTTCCACCCAGCGCCGTTTTCACGGGCACCTTCTTCACGGGTGTGCCGCTGGGGCTGCTACTGATCATTTTTCAATGCTGTCGCTTGATGCGGTAAACTAACACGCGGCACCGCATATGTTTCCATATGTTGAGTAGCAATTTCTTTTAGTGAGTCCAGCCAGTGTGCGCGAGGAAGCGGGGATGGCAGGTGGTCCTGCCACCCGGGCACTTCGCCCTGTTTCTCAGCCCGTAGCAGCGCTCGTCACAGCGCGCCTTCTCGCGGTCCACGGCCGCGTGGCGCGCCAACTCCTGGCCAGCTGGCGGGAAGTGAGCGCCGCGGCATGCGCGGCGCACCTCGTGAGTCGCCAGCGCCCTCGCCCTCTGGCAAATGCCTCTGCACGTCGCGGTCGCATTGATCAGCGCGCCCTCGCCCGCGTTGCGGCGCGCGCGACTGACCTGCTAGCGCCCCAACGCGCGCGTCAACTCGCCCGCGTCTGACGTCCATGTATCAGGCGGTGATCCTGCGCCTTCACTCGCCGCCATGCCCATGCCCCTTGGCACCGCCGCCGCATCGCCCACCTCCTCGCCGGTCGAGCCCCACGCCAGCAGCGCATCTCCAGCAGCCGAGCCACGCTACATGGCGACACCCGTCATCGCGCGCAACGTGGACCAGCCGATCAGCATCGCGATGCGGCGCGCACTCTGGCCCGCGCGCGGCCGCTGTCCAGGTTGGCCCGCGCGCCGCTCAGCGTGGCCAGGAACGCCACCAGGTGCGCAGAGGTCCTCAAACCCGCGATAGCGCCGGCGACTCGGTTGCCGATCCCGGCCACTTTGAACGCTCTGCATGCCCCTGCATGCCCCTGCACTCCTCGAGCGCCGCCGCCCCGGGGAACTTTGCAACGATGTCGGACGCGCAATTCGCGCCCTTGAAATTGATGACCTTGATCCGGCCCGCCCCGACCGACTGCTGCAGCCAGGGCCGATTCGCCTCCGAGTGTCGAACTCGACCGAGTCCCCATGCGGGATGCAATCGCAGTAGCCGAGGACGCGTCGCGCTAGAACTCCGCGCCGATATCGGGACCCGCGAGGTGGATTAGCTCCCGTGCGTAGATAATCTCCGCCGCGAGCTCGACCACGGCCAGGCCGTCCGCCTCGGGGGTCGCCTGCGCCTGGATAGACATCGCGCGGGCGCGCGCGCTGACGGGCGCTCCGCGCCTGCAGAAGGCCCCGCCGCGCGTTGATTTGCGGGCGTCTCGGCAGCCCGCCCGTTCCGCATCGGCGCGCCAGCGTGGCCTCTTGCAGCCCCACGAGGATCGGTGGATCGTCGCCGCGTCGAGCGCCCCGCTCAGGCACCTCAGCAGGCGCTTCAAACTCTTCGCGTCAGCTGTTGGCCCAGCTCCTTCAGCGGGCGCAGCTGGCGAAATCGCCTCGGGATGGCGCTCCGGATCTTCCCGCGGCAGCGGCGACACAGCGAGCGCAACGCACTGTTCAACGGCTTGTCCGCCCGAGGCTTGGCGAGGGCGGCCCTGGCCCCTGCGGCGCCCGCGGGGCGGCAACCCGCCATGCCCGCAGCCACTGGGGTGCTCGCCACACAGCACGGCCCATTCTTGCCGCGATGGCGCCCCCGAACACTTCAGCGCCGAGCCGAGGTGGACCGCGGGGGTCTTGCCCGGGACGCAGCGGCCCTTGATCGCCAGATGCTCGGCGATGTCGTCAAAAACTTGTACAGCACACCTCGTGGTGACCCAGATGCAAAAAGACCGCCCGCGTGCGCGGCAACCCTGATGCCCTCCACACGGTGGCACTAAATGGTGGGCGCTGCATTGCACGTCGAAGCCTGCTGACATCGCGATGCGCCACAAACGCCGTCGGAACTGCGGCGCCGCCTCTCGGAGCCCGCAAAGCTTCAACGCGAAGTCGCGCATTATGCCATATCCGCGTAGATCTCCGTCCCCTCACTCTCTGGCGCGCGCGAAGGCCGCGCTGAAGTCCGCCGTCGCGATGGCGTGCCACAGCAGGGGCGCCGCCGCCGCCGCCACCCTCGCAGCCTCCGCGCGCGGCGCGCAGGCGAAGTCGCCACAGGCACCGCGCGCTCTTGCGGCAGCAGCGCGCGCCCCACAACTTCTTGACCCGCGGGTCGTGGCACTGGCTCTCCAATACCGAGAGACCCCTTGAAGTTTGCCTCGTTGATTCCCTCGCGGACCGAGTCCAGGTCGAGGATCTGGCCTATTGTCGTTGTCGTCGTTGGCATGCTCCAACGGAACGAAATATAAGTCGGGCCTGTCCCCCTGCAGAGGGATTGTCGACGAGAAATAAAACATACCCCACAAATCAAATAAATAACACAAAAATGGTCCGGGGACTATTTGTTGACTATTGTTGACCTTTTTGTTGCTTCTGTATGTGTGTATATACATATAGATATTTCGTCGAGAATCCCCCTGTAGGGGGACAACACCGACTTAACACTGGCTCTCCAACACCGAGAGACCCCTTGAACTTCGCCTCGTTGATTCCCTCGCGGACCGAGTCCAGGTCGAGGAACTGGCCCCCTGTCGTTGTCGTAGCCGGCCTTCTCCAACAAAACGACATCCTGGTCGGACCCGCGCGGCCTGCGCAGCTCCAAGCAGCCGCCGCAGCCGAGCTCCGTCACGCTCACGACGTGGGCGCCGCCTCGCCCCGAGCTGGCTCTCCTTCGCTCGCGCGCTCGCCGGTCGAGCCCTCCGCCTCGCCTTAGAGTGACATAAGCATAAAAGCCCGGAGGTGCATCCTTTGCCTTCCAGGGCTTACCAGAAGCCTGCATGGGGCACATCGGCGAAGCCCCGGGGCATGCACCCCACCACTCGCGGCGTCCCGCGCCACTTGCAAACTCGCTGCCCCACCATTCCCGTGGCGCCCGTGACTGGCCGCCCAGACACTTGCCAAGCGCCTGCGCCGGGGCCCGACCGGCCAAGACGAGGGTTCATCTGCGCGCCAAAACGCCTGCGGGGGCGCTCGGGTCAGAACTGACACCTACAGTAGGGGCCCGACCACAAGAAACCTTCCACAAGGTACCCAACCCTGAGACCCCAGGACGACCATTGATTTTTGGTGTGGGAACATCACGCCTTCCATGGCAAAACCATCGAGACCCACGAAACTCCGAGCACCTTGGAGGCACGCAGGGTGCTTTTGGCATGGGCTCCCACTGTATGCCACGCGGCGCGCCACATTGCGGCGCATCGGCGGCGGCAAGGCGGCGCCCGATTTGTGTATTGCCGCTCGTCGCCTCCAACAGCCTCGAGGAAGGCCCTCATCGACGCCACTGATTGGCACGCCCAGAATGTGTACCGAATCACGGGCTCGAAACCCAACAGCAAATGTTGCCCAAAACCAGGTGAGGCCGCTGTTGGGCAGGCGACTCGTACCAAATGGACGTCCGCGGCGCCGCCAACAACACGCCGTCTTTAGCATGGAAAGGAGCTGCTGCCGACCCTCTTCAACATAAGAAGGAGCTGCTACCCGCCTTCGTCCCGCTGCTTTCCGTGTCCATCTCGATCGCACCAAAACCAAAACGGCTGAACACATGCAGCACAGCCCTGTCGGCTGATGGATTCCATCGTGTGCACCCCGCGCTCCTGTGGGACCGCCATGCTCGCGCACGCCACGCACGCCCTGGGAGCGCACACCGTGACCTCAGGGGGGACTGAAGGATCGAGCTCCTCGGCCCCACGGGCTGAGGCCCTGTTATCGCCCACTGAGGGTCAGTCTGGCGCGCCAGCCGATCCAGGGCGACAGGTGGCCCCCGAAGCCCCATACATCCGACGCCGTGATCTTTTCGACACGTCACCCCTCTGCTCTCGACCTCTTCCCCAGAGGCCAGTTTCGAATTCCGGACCGCTCTCTCACAGGCCCAGGGCACCAGAACTCGCCGCACCAAGCCCAGGGGCCGATGACTTTGAAAAGCCTGCCGTCTTGATTTCCGAAGGCGTTCTGGGGAACTGACCTCCTGGGCCCCCTGCGTGTGCCAGATATGGACCCCAGGGGGGCCTTAGCCACCGCCTGCCCGAGGTCCCCGCAGATCGATGCCCCAGGCCGTGGTTATATCCCCGCGTCGGAGTCATGGGCAGGAGAGGAAGCAGTTGAACAGGGACCGACCATCCTGGCATCCCTACAGGTCTACCACGAAATATTCTTACTGCGAAAGAATGTTCGAATAACAAAACCAGTGTTCGTAATCAGAACACAGAGCCGATGCACCAAAACAATGACAGTCTCAGCCAGACATGTTCGAAAAACAGATCGTGCAACCCACAAGACCTTAGAACATTATTCGGTGGGCCTGTACGCAGGCCAGGACGCTTTGCCACTGCTTGAAGCAGGAGCCCGCCTCGTTCGTGCGCTCCCTCTTCTCGTCTTCGAGGTGCGCCTCGCACCGCGCGCGCGGGGGGCGACAGAAGCGCCGAGCGAGGGCACCCGCGCGCGGAAGGGGGAACGACCCTGGCCACCTGGCCTGCAGTTCGGGAGCGGACCCCACTGCCAGGCCTGAGCTGGATCGAATCACAAAATCAGATCAGATCGGGAACGGACCGCATCGCCGGCGAATCGGACCGAAATCGGATCGCCGCGCCTGGCGTCGGGCGCAGGAAGAATGCGCGAATCAGCTCACGCAGCTGATTATCCTGCCGCACCTCGGCGCCAGAGGCACACAAGTATCGAGGAGAGCGCCTGGCGGCGCGGCCGAAACCAGCTGCAAGAATCAGATTCCGTATCCCCCCTCCCTTCCCTGTCCCACCCTTTCGTCCGACATTCCTCCTCCTCCTTGTTCTCCTCCTCTCCTCCTCCTCCTCCTCCTCCTCCTCCTCCTCCTCCTCCACCTCCCCCTCCTCATATTCCTCCTCCTCCTCCTCCTCCTCCCCTCCTCCTCCTCCTCCTCCTCCTCCTCCTCCCTCCTCCTCCTCGTCATACTCCTCCTCCCCCCCCCCTCCTCCTCGTCCTCCTCCTCCTTCTTCTCCTCGTCATCCTCCTCCTCCTCCCCCCCCTCCTCCTCGTCTCTCCTCCTCCTCCTTCTTCTCCTCGTCATCCTCCTCCTTCTCCTCCTCCTCCTCCTGCCCTCCTCCTCTTCCCCCTCCTCCCCCTCCTCCTCCGTCCTCCTCCGTGCTCCTCCGTCCTCCTCCTCCTCCGTCCTCCTCCGTCCTCCTCCTCCTCCTCCTCCTGATCCTCCTCCTCGTCCTCCTCCTCCTCCTCCTCCTCATATTCCTCCTCCTCCTCCTCCTCGTCATTTTCCTCCTCGAGCATTTAGGGGCGCCCACTGGCTTGGGCAGCACTTCCGGCCGCCGCTCTGGTGGCCGTGCCGCCTGAGCCCCTCCGGCCTCCGCTCTGCGGGGCGGGCGCGCGGCGCAGGCGGGAGAGGCCGGCTCCGCGCCGCGCCGCTCCAGAGCGAACGCAGTCGGGTAGCCTTATGTCGAGCGTGTCCCCATACAGGGGGATTCCCGCTGAATCATAATAATAATAATGAAAATAATAATAATACTAATAATAATATATATATGAATTAAAAATAATAATAATGATAATAATAATAATAATGAACCCAAAGGCCCCCAACACAAAAAGAACAACAACAAAAACAATTAAAACATAGTACCCAGACTATTTTTGGACTATTTCCCTACCTAGGCTCTGCCTAGAAGGGTTCCTACTCTCTTTGCTTTAAGGGCCGGGCAGTGCTAACCGCCCCGGGCGGTTCCCCCAGTCCCCGCCCCGCGGTTCCCCCAGTCCCCTGGGAGCTTTAGCGGGAGCTTTAGCCTTAGCTTTAGCTTTAGCTCTAGCTTTAGCGTTAGCTTTAGCTTTAGCTTAGAGTTAGAGTTAGCTTAGCTTTAGCTTAGTGTTAGCTTAGCGTTTGCTTAGCGTTAGCTTAGCTTTAGCTTAGTGTTAGCTTAGCGTTTGCTTAGCGTTAGCTTAGCGTCAGCTTAGTGTTAGCTTAGCTTTAGCTTAGTGTTAGCTTAGCCTTAGCTTAGCTTTAGCTTAGCTTTAGCTTAGCTTTAGTTTAGCGTTAGCTTAGCTTTAGCTTAGCGTCAGCTTAGTGTTAGCTTAGCTTTAGCTTAGCTTTGGTTTAGCTTTAGCTTAGCTTCAGCTTAGTGTTAGCTTAGCGTTAGCTTAGCTGCAGCTTAGTGTTAGCTTAGCTTTAGCTTAGATTTAGCTTAGCCTTAGCTTAGCTTTAGCTTAGCTTTAGCTTAGCTTCAGCTTAGCTTTAGCTTAGCTTTAGCTTAGTTTTAGCTTAGTTTTAGCTTAGCCTTAGCTTAGCTTTAGCTTAGCTTTAGCTTAGATTTAGCTTAGCCTTAGCTTAGCCTTAGCTTAGCTTTAGCTTAGCTTTCGCTTAGCTTCAGCTTAGCTTGAGCTTAGCTTGAGCTTCGCTTTAGCTTAGCTTTAGCTTAGCTTTAGCTTAGCCTTAGCTTAGCTTTAGCTTTAGCTTTAGCTTAGCTTTAGCTTAGCTTTAGCTTGGCTTTAGCTTAGCTTCAGCTTAGCTTCAGCTTAGCTTTAGCTTAGTGTTAGCTTAGCTTTAGCTTAGCTTTACTGTTACTACTAATGCTGCTTTCCTAGGGGCTCCAACTCCTAGGGATATTTTTATAATTATGTTTGGGATATGTTTTGTGTTTCGTCGAAAATGCCCCTGTAGGGGGACAGGCCCGACTTAAGGGTAGCCCGGCGGTTGGCAGCGGCGGCGGAGAGGACGAGGTGATGCAGGACAGGAGTTGGAGGAACAACAGGTGGCATAAACATAACAACTCGGAGGTCCGCGCGGATTTCTCGGATCGGCGCTGGGGCCCCCTCCCTGGCGCGCGGAGCGCGCCAGGGGCGGCGCCGGAAGCGCCGCCAGGGAGGTCCAGCGCGGAACCGAGAAATCCGCGCGGACCTCCGAGTTTTCATGTTTATGTCATTATTCGTTCCCCTAGGAGTGGCCCGAGCAGGGACAGGAGAAGTGGAGCAAGGGGTACAGCCTGGGCGCAGTCGCATCACGTCGGGCGTCGTCGTGCCTTGCCCCATCCTCGGAAGGAAGTCGTCGCCAACTGATTGGAAAGCTGAACCTCGCTCCCCTGCCACATGTGCGCCTCACTCTCTTTCTCAACCATCAAATTCTTACTGCTCGTGGTGAAGTGGGTGGGTCTCATTTTGGCCCACCGACAGGGAACGATAATCGCCACCTCTCTTCCATTCTTGTTTGGTGGTAGCGTGAGTTTCTGGCAAGCCAACCCTCGTAGCCATCTCAGACTGGCCTTCCGACGGCACAGACAGCCATAAAGGAACGGGGACCAGAAGCCAACGAGTCTTGCATCCCCGAATTACCCCAGGACTGCATTTCCATCCTCAGCCGATCTGACGGTTCTAGGGCTACGCAATGCCCTAGGAAACAGAAGACGGTGAAAACAGTACGCCCCCCCTCTCTTCCACGACGCATTCGCTTCACGCTGAGGACACCAACATGACAAAGAAAAACAACCGCAGAATCCGAAGCAGTTGAAGCTAAGCACGGATTTCTTGTATCGGTGCCAGGCCCTCTTCCCTGTCGCGCAGAGCGAGCCAGAGGCGGTGCCAGAGGCGCTGTCAGGGTGGTCCCCAGCGTCGATCCGAGACATCCACGGAGATCTCCAGAATGTTATCCTTATGCCGTTTCTCATTCTGTGGGGGCAGGAAAGAAGGAGAGGAAGGAAGGAGGAGGAGGATGCGTACCCCCTCCTTCTACTGCCCGGGGCGGCAATGGGGGGTCCCACTGGCTTCCATCCTGGATCCTCGCCTGTGTCTGCGGCGTCCGCGCGCGGCCTGCATCTTGTGCACCTGGGCTGAGGGACAAGAGGGGGAAGGGTCAGGAGGAGGGGGGGGGGGCAAGAAAGAGGAGAGAAGAAAACGGCAGGGGAGATAATATGGGCGGGGAGCGACAGGGGCAAGAGAAGTGCGCGAGGGGAGATGAGAGCCAACTAGCTCTCCAGCGCCCCGGAATTACTCTTAGGCTTCCAGCAATAACATGCTAAGGGAAGCTCTACGAGTTATTGTCTCTTAATGCCTGGGAGGTGAGGAGGGGGAGGGGGAGCGCATAGAGGGGCAGGATGAGAGAGATGAAGACTCGATCATCCCCTGGCCGCCCACAATCCAGCGAGCCACCAGGAGCGATCACACGCCCTTGGAAGCGTCTGAACTTGCTGGAGGCATCCTCTCAGACGGAAGCCGCTGGGTCATCGTGGCCTGGACCCAAACCTTTCCTGATGCGGGGCCAGACTCTCGCGCACCCTCTTCGCAATGGGACTGCTTGCTTGCAGACGTGCTAGGTCGGGAGTGTCCTCCTTCGGGAGGATGTTGGGCGAAACATGGAAAATGGTCGAACAAAAGCTCGACCATAGCCGAAACTACTCGGACAAAAAACGGCCCCTGACTATTATTTCTGCACTATTTACGAATATTCCTCCCGTAGAGGGACGCGCCCGACGTGACACCAGTGGAGTATCGGGGGGCGACCGCCGACCAGCGGCCGCACGCAGGGAGCAAACAGATGCCGCGCGAGGGAAACATCCTGGGCAGCGAGGCGGGCGACGCGACGGCTGCGACGACCCCGCCCTCCCGCAGGCCCGCGCGGCCCCTTGCCCGACGGGGGCCCGCATCGGACTGCTCCTGACGAACCAGCCTCGACCTCATCCCCATCCCCAAGCTGGGCGAGCGAGAAGCGAGGACGAGCTGAGGGATGTGCCCTCCGAAGTCGAAGGAGCCCTCGAGGTCGGCATCGAGGGGAGGTGATGCCAACACACAGGGATAGTTGAGCAGGGACCGACCGTCCCGGCATTCCTATAGTCCTACCACGAAATGTTCTTAGAACCCAGCAATGCTCTAAGAACAAAAACAATGCTCTCAGAGCATCAGCCCGATGTGTTAAAGCAAGACAGTCCCAGAAAAGAGATGTGCTAAGAACATTTCGTGGGAGCCACAAAAGGGCCTTAGAACATTGCTTGGCAGGGCTACAGGCACGCCAGGACGCTTCGCCACCCCTTGAATGATAGAGGCGAGGCAGCTCGCATGGCCCCAGAGCCTGGACGGCAGCGCACATCGAACAGCTCCCCGTGTGCTGCCCGACCTGTGGCCCGAGCAGACCCTGCGAGCCGCCTCTGTGAAGGGGCCCTGGGGCACACAAATAAACACATACACACACAAATCACAGGATTCCCCATATTTCCCTGTATAATGTGGGTCTTTGCCTCCCCCCCCCCCACTTCCCATACTTTCCAACGTTTTCCCAGGAATCGACGATTTCATTGTGTCTGTGTCTCTTCTCTCCTGACCTGCGAGCCGCCTCTGGCCCTGCCGTCGAACTGCCTCCGCACGGCGCTCCTCTGGAGCTCTCCGCGGTCCACAAGGGCTCCAAACTTCGCGCTCCGCGCTCCGCGAAGCGCGAATGACTTCGCGCCCTCGCGACGCCCCCCTCCAAAGGAAGAACGGAGGACGAGGAGGAGGGGGAGAAGGAACGAGGACCGCGAAGCGCGAAGCGCGAATCACTTCGCGCCCTCGTGGGAGCCCTTGGTCCAGGGAGCACAGCGGCAATGGTGTCGTCGAGCTGGTGTCGTCGAGCCCGAGGACGACCGCAGAGCTCTGGGTGAGGATTTGTCCGGATTCCCTGAGACTCCTAGGACTTCCTGGGATTTCTCAGGATTCCTAGGACTTCCTAGGACTTCCCAGTATTCTCAGGATGTCCTCGGATTCTTAGGATTGCGTAGGATGTCTTAGGACTTCCTCGGAAATCTGAGGAATTCCAGCGTCGTCTGCTGTCGTCTGGTCCGCCCGCTGGCGGACCAAACGGCACCGCGCCCCCCGAAGAGACCGGCGTCCGGCACACGCGGCGCCCACAGGCGGCCAGGCTCCAGGAGACTCCCTGGGCAGCGCCCGCGGCCAAAGAGCTGGCGAAGTGACTACAGGGCAGATTTCAATACATAGGACTTCTAAATATTTAAACAAAAAACAAAACACACACACAAAAAAAAAGCATGATTCACTTATGAATAAATTTATGCATGAACTCATCGTTGTTTTTAATACTGAACCCCAGCATTGTTAATACATGATCCGCACGCGGAGCATGTATCAAAAACGGTACTGTACCGTGCACCTCGTCACGTCGGGCAACAAAAACGGGCCCGAGGCGCTCCCGCGACCCCCTATGAGGCCCGGCGCACGCGAGGCCGTCGCCCGCAGCGGCGAGCACCGTGTTGGCAGCAGGCGGCTCGTGGAGCCATGGCCACATGGGCTTTTTTGCTAGCACCGGCGGGGAGAGACACCACCACACCGAGGGCACGACTGCGCCACCGGTCGGACTGGCTTTCCTGCATGCAGCGGCAACGGCAGCCGGCACACTGGACATAACACTCGGTGGTCAGAGCACCCTTCGCCATGCGACTGCCTGCGGCATCATGGACGGCTCGCCCATCGCGGACACGGCCCCTGCAGGAGTTCACACGGGATGCTAAAACCTGGCCCAGACCAGCTGCAGCTCCGAGACAGGGCGAAGTGGCCAGACAGGGAGAGGCTGCGCGCTGGGGGGATGCGGCTGCAGCTCCAGTCCAGGGTGGACTGGCCGAGCGGATGGACGCAAGCCGCGGATCACAGGTAACCAGTGGGTTCTCTAGGAAACTCACTAAACATTCAGCCAACATGGCAGTGAAGGGGGGCGGAGAAGGGAAGGAGGGGCAGGGAGGATAGCTGGGGAAGACCAGAGCTAGGACAGACAAGGATGGGAGGAGTGTGAAGGTGAGAAGGGTGCGGAGGAAGGTCAAGAGGAGGACGTTAAAATGCATATCCAGCTCTTATGTTATGTGCCCAATCACAGTCGTTGATCTGTTTGGGATCTTCAACTTTGCAACCGTATGTCGCACAATATGACCATCAACACCGGTCAAAATGTCACACATCCAAGGCTGCGCGCCTGCACGCGCATATCCTTGATCATTGAGAACGCGCCCTCGAACGGATTGGAATCCTGTAGCAGATGATAGGCGAGTTGGACAAAGTGTGAACAACATACTTGCGACAACGAAAACTTCTGACACAACACTAGAATACTGAAATTTTCAAACTTGAACAGTACGATAACTTGCACTTCTCACAAGGGGGAGCTGTACCGCTGGCTGCAGAATAGATGGTATAATCGCAACTGCTATGGGCCACTGCCAGCTCCACAAAATGTACGCCCACATGCGGCATGACGGGGAGACTCGCATTGTGCATACCCGCTGGAAACCTCAGAACGATATCTGGCATGGTTACCACTGGTTGTCCCCGAGCTCTATTGGATGAACATCGGCTTCATCCTATTGGTCGATGCGGGGGGGGTCAACAATACGGACAGACCTGCCGGGAACTCGAAGTGCCTGTGCCGTTCAGTTGCAAACCTTGCCCCCGAAACGCATGATATGCATTCGACACGTTTTGGCTCCGAACCCCGTAATTGCCCTCTTCCGCCTCGCCTCCGCCGAGCCAAGTTCCGCCTCCTCCTCCTCCTCCTCCTCCTCCTCCTCCTCCTCCTCCTCCTCTTTCCTCCTCACCATCAGTACCATCATCCGAATCATCCTCATAATCCTCATCCTCATTCCTCGTCATCATCATCACAATGGATATTACCGTGCTGCTCTTCCAGTTTCAACCAGCGGCCCAGTGATCTCTTCGTGGCCTCGACCCCTTCCCTTGGGACCCGTCGTTAACCATCGCTTCACCATCGTGCCCCGCTGGCACGCTGAATGTGTGGCAGACTGCCAGGTGCTGCCTGGTAGGGCTCCTGCACTCCAGCAGAGGACTCCCCCTTCTACTCTTAAGTCGGGCCTGTCCCCCTACAGGGGGATGTCCGACGAGAAATACAACAACCCAAAAATCCGCCGATCCGGCGTGTGAGTTTCAAGGAGTCTCAGCTACAGCCTCGAGGCTGAGCCTCAGCCTCTGGGGGGGTTGCCGGGGTGGCTCTGCCGGGGAAGGGGGGGTGGGGGGGGGGGGGGGGTGCGAGTTTCCGGCGGATGCGTTTTTTGACACCCCTCACAAGGATCGTGGCCTCCGAGGGGGTTCCGAACTCGAGTACCACCCCTCCCGCACCAAGAGGCTCCGAGGAGGCCTCCAAGAGGCCCCAAGGGGCGCAGAAGAGGCCCCCAAGAAGCCCCAAGAGGCTCCCAAGAGACCCCCAAGAGGCCCTCTAGTGGCCCCAAGAGGCCCAAGAGGCCCCCAAGAAGCCCCAAGAGGCGCCCAAGAGGCCCCCAGAAGTCCCAGCCAACCACGAGATCCCAACCAGCATCCATGAGGCCTCTGACCCACCACCCACGCACGGTGGCGGGATAGGCCGACGGCCACTGGATAAATGCTGAGTGCGAGGAGGGGAGGGAAAAAGAGAGGAGGGACGAGGGCGAAGAAGGATCACATCAGTCGGAGCGCCCCGGATCGGCGGCACTGGCCGAAGGCCACTACAATAGTCAAAAAATAATACAAAAATCATCTGGGGAGTATAGTTTGAATATTTGTTGGCCTTTTTCTGGCATTTTTGGTGTATGTTTTACTTTTCGTCGAAAATCCCCCTGTAGGGGGATGCCACGGCCCTTCGACTAAACCAACGTCTCCGCGCTCCCGAGGCCACGACCCCTCGTAAAAAACAAGCTATGCGTCCGCCTCCCGATCTTCTGAGCTTCCAAGACAGCCCAGGGAAGCAACCAAGGCAACCAAGAGGGTCCAATATGCCTTGAAGACGGCCCAAGATGACCCCAAGACGACCCAAGATAGATTCAAGGCGGCCCCAAGGGGACAACCACAAGGGTCCGAGGAAGCCAAACAAGTTGTTGTTCCGAGGGTTGTTGAACGATGGCTCCCTTCCCGTGGCTTCGGGCTTCCACCAGCTCAAGTTGGCCGAGGGAGCCCCCAAACTGGCCCCAAGACTGTCCAAGAGGGCTGCAAAAGGGCTCCAAAAGTGGCCCAATGAGACCTGCGATGGCCAAAACAGGCGCCCAAAACTGCCCCTAGCCAAGGCGTTGTTAGAGGACCCGTCGACGACACAAGACGGCGCCAAGACAGCCCAACCACCCAATCACAATACGACTAAGAGGGCCACCCCAGACGGCCCAAGAGAGCCACGAGACGATAGGCCCCCAGGACGGCCTAAGAGAGCCCCCGGAACATCCAAGACTGCCTAGCAGGAAGCCGAAACAGTCCCACGACGGGCCCAAACGAGCTCAATGGAAGCTACTCAAGTACTGAAGACGAAAGGTGTAATATGGCACGGCCCTCCTCCTCCTCGTATTCCTCCTCCTCCCCTTTGCCACCGTCAACATCACAAGCATTATCAGCAACCTCAGTATCAGAATAAACATCCGCACCCGCACCCGCATCATCATCAACACCAGCATCCGTATCATCACTGCGATCATGATCATCATCGCCCCCACCACACTCATGATTAGTCATCATCGTCGCCCAAGCTGGAGACGCGAGGTGTCACGCGTCGGTACATTAAGGTTGTATATTATAGGAAGTACAGCTTCATCGCCGATTCTTCGAGCCTCCACAGCCGTGGTGGCGACGGCTGACCGCTCGCGTGTCGTCTACGCGTGGCCGTCAGTGGCCCTTTCAACTTCAAACGATGTGACGGACATCGTGGCCTCGGACATGTTGATACCCCCGGATCCTTGCGATCCAGGGGTCTCAACGCTACCATTCTGCATGTGCCATGGTGCAATGCGTCACCGACCACCGGCTCGCTTGTCTGCGGCGACCCACCGCTTTCGGCTGATGTCCATGAAGGCGGCGAACACCCCGCCAAATCCCACCAGCCCTCTGGGTGTAGGGGGTTTAGGAAGTGTCCTCTTCCACCCCTCCTTTTTCCCCTTCGGGGAAGATTTTACCCCACCCCCTCCCCTCCACAATTACACAATATGAAAATACTCTCCCACTTCCCCTGATGGCGTCCCGAAGATATCCGACCCCCCCCCCGCGTACTGTTTTTTACACACAAGATTCCCGGGAAACGGGTGTTCGCCTGCGTTTTTTTTCAAAATGCTGATCTCGCTGAAGCGCCGGCCTCATTTCTGTTCCCGAATCGTTCCGGATCGTGCTCCCGCTGCAGCGTGGGTCTCATTTTCGGATCGGTGTTTGGCCTCCGTCGTTCAGGATGGCGTTCTCTCCCCAGCGCGGGCCTCTTTCTCGCGCGCCCATCCGCCCGCCACCACCGCGCCGCACCACCACCACCACCACCACCACCACCACCACCACAACCACAACCAGCACCAGCACCAGCACCAGCACCAGCACCACCAGCACCAGCACCAGCACCAGCACCAGTACCAGCACCAGCACCACCACCACCACCACAACCACGCACACACGCACGCACGCACGCACGCGCACCACCACCCACTACGCACGCGCGCGCGGAGCCACAGGTCCGCTACGACACGCGTCCGCGGATAGAGAAAATCAGCGCCATGGTAAGGGATGGGGGGGAGGGGTAGGACGTCAGATATGACGCGAGCGCACCTAGCTTGCCCCACCCCCTCCCCCGACCCCCTCCCCCTAACCCCTGCCCCTCAGGGTTGGTGGGGGTACTTTTTTTGTCGCAGCCGCAAGCGAAAACGCAAGCGGCGTCAAACGGAACGGGCGGGCCGCGTGCGAACGTAATTGCCCAACGCGCCAGCAAACAGAGGCCTGGGCGGTACCTCAGATCACCGGAAGCGGGAGGTGGTGCGAGCTGCAGCTGCCAGGAACCAGGTCCAGGAGCGAGCACATGCAAATTAGTCAACCAAAGTTGGGGCGCAGCCAGAATGGTGCGGGAGCGATACCAGGATGTGGCCAGGAAAGGGGCTGGTGGGGTTACGCGAAGCGTCTAGACTTTTCGAGCTTGCGTCCAGCCGTGACTCACGAGGACTAGCGGACACCAAACTCCAAAGCCGAACGCCGTTCTCCCGCCCGCGCCACGCGGCGAGCGGGCGCGGGTAAGGGCGCGCGCGCGCCCTCCCCCCCACCTTTGTCGGCGCCGCCGCTCGGGCACAGAGCCGCCCAAACACCGCCGTGCAAGACGCAGCCATCCACAGGAGGAGGGGACGAGGAAGGGCGAGGACTACTACTACTAACTCCTCTCGGGGCGAAATTTCGAAACAGAACTGAAA